GGTGGTGGTGGCGGTGGCAGCAGATGCCACGGTGGTGGCAGTTCTCAAGTCAGCCGCCGTAGCGGCGGTGGCTGCTGTGGGAGAAGTGGTGGAGGATCTTCTCAACAAGCCCAGAGCCATGGTGGCGGCTGCTGTGGTGGAAGTTCTGGAGGGTCTTCTCAACAAAGCCAGAGCCATGGTGGCGGCTGCTGTGGTGGAAGTTCTGGAGGGTCTTCTCAACAAAGCCAGAACAGTGGTGGCAGCTGCTGTGGTGGAAGTTCTGGAGGGTCTTATCAACAAAGCCAGAGCAGTGGTGGTAGCTGCTGTGGTGGATCTTCTCAGCAGAAGATGAAGTAGACCCATCCCGGAAGGAAGGAGCTCTTGTACAAATCCACTACTCAATGAAGTTCTTCTCTCCTTGTAAACCAACTATGCTTTGACATCTCCAGGTGGCCTTGGGTGATAACTTCTTTCCTCTCTTGTCTTTGGACATTCCTGTGAAGGTATTAAAACCTCCTTTCATGCAAGAAACTGAGCATTATCGTATTCTTTTCATGCCTCCACGAAACCATATATGTATAGTATGCCCATGGAAGACGCGTCTTTCCAACTCAGATTAATGACACATTATATAACTTAGCTAGTCATGAGTTCTCCTGAATTCCAGATAAAGACCATTCCTAGTTCTGACCTTCTGGATACAAAATATGTGTCCTATCACGCACCAAATCCACAAAAATATTCTAGGTTCTATGACTCTACACCAGGAAGCAATTTTGGAGGTAGGAAATTGTTCTTCCAGTCAATCAGTTACATGGTCCATCCAAGAACTTCAGAGTTCTTTATTGAACCGAGGTTTTGTTTTGCCCTCTGTTTCAAAACACACAACACACACTTTCACACGTTCTCCGAAATCTAAATTAAGTCAAGTTTGCCCTGAAGCAGTAGAACTTGTAACTCTTGTTCGGTGATGTATATTCATATTTTATGTATTTCCCAGTTACTGCCCAACCTTAATTCATATTTAAAGAAACTGGCAAACATCTCGTTCCTTTGTTTGTTTCTTTTCAAACGGCGCTGACATTTTCCATGCGCTCGAAAAATAGGAGGGAGGGAAGATAATCGCAGTTACATTGTCAAAAGAAAGACTCAAAAATATATCTTTGTGTCATCTTGTTTAATATTCTTAAGACAATAGGATTAAAGTCACATTGGGTGGGGGGACAATTGAAAGACAGAAAAGATCTTTACTTTTTCATACTGGGCGGGTGGAACATTTTCAGAGAAAGGGGAACACTTCGTATTCCAACCCCCAAATGTATATATTTTATTCATTCATCAAATTCCTAATTCGCGTGAGTGGTGTCTGCCGGTATATGGAAGCCATTTTCCTCCTTTTTTGCAATGTGGGTTAGTTTAGTTTCAATTTCAGTTTTGTTAAAAAGGGCAGCTTATTGGTGCTTGCTCATTTTTCAGAATGGAGGAAGAAACACTTGAGATGCTAGGAACAGAGCATTCTGGGAAAAATATGGCAGTCGGTTGCCATAATTTTATTCCTCCCCACTCCTAACTACCATATGCACCATCCCAGGGAGTGAAGTTTTCTTCTAGATGTTGTGATCCATGAAAAAGGTGTCCACATTATACCCCTTTTAAAGATAAAATGGAAAGAAAATTGACAGGTTTTATTTATTTTTTTCATTTATCAAATTTATGTGGTTCCCCATCTCACAAAAAAAGGGGCTCTGGACGGCATGCTACAGAGCTGAAAATAATTAATATACCATTAATCAATAGTAATTGCAACAACCTGGAGACTGGAGAAGAGAAGGAATTGGAGAAAAAACACCAAATATAAAGACCTGTAAATAGAAGTAGAACGACTGTGGCAAAAGAAAGCAAAGGTAGTTCCAATAGTTATAGGCAACTTGGGTGTAATCCCAAAACGTCCAGAGCACCTCTTGAACATCACTGGCATTGATAAAAATCACCGTCGGTCAATTGCAAAAGGCAGCTTAGCTTGGAAGAGCTGACATCCTGCGAGGAGATCTTCAACACCATCAACATCTGTCTACCTCAGGTCCTTGGGAAGAACTTGATGGATAGAAATAAAGACGAAATCCAGTCTAAACAACTGGTTGACTGTGAAACTCACCATAATAATAATAATAACACATTGACATTGATGGCATTGACAAAAATCGCCATCGGTCAGTTGTGAAAGGCAGCTTGACTTGGGACAGCTGACATCTCGTGAGGAGACCTTCAACACCACCAATCATCAATATCTGTCTATCAAAACAAAAATGCCAAATCCAGCCTCAACATCTGGCTGACTTTATGATGAACAGAATAAATATATAAAAAAAGAAAACTATAACAAACACGAAGATATATATATAAATTTATATATAAATATATATATATATATATTAGGCCAAGAGAAGATGTTAATTATAGTGGAGCTACCCCAATGTTCAGATACATTCTAGTCCAGACTTGAATTTCCTACAGGACATTGTACAGAATTGAGAATTCTAGATTTTCTGGATTTTTGTCCTCGGCTGTTTTGCCCCACTGGATCCAACCTCGTTTTCAATGGATCTGAGAATCCTTGGCATCACTTCCTCTGCTCTAGTTGATGAACAAAAAAACACACCCAGTGAGTCATATTTTGACATTCTTCTCCTTCATTCCATCCGAGGAGATAAATTAATTGACAAATCTGATAAAGAGGAAGTGAACACCCAACATGTTCCTTTGGGTTGGGTTGCCCTTTGCATTTTTTCGAATCGCCTCCTTGAATGACTCCTAAAAGGATTTTTTAAAAAAATCTGATCGTGTAGGTAAAAACAAAAGGTCACTTCTTTGAAGATAGCAAAGTCCACATTCTGGACCGAAAGATTTTACTCCACTGCAGATTTTACTCCACTAATCGTTGCCAACTCTCATCTCTCTTTTGAGGCCATTGAGCTGCCGCTGTCCAAAGACATTTCTGTGGTCATGTGGCCAGAATGACATCATAGAGCACTGCTATTTTCCCACGGAAGTGGTACCTATTTATCTAGTCACATCGGCATGCTTTTGAACTTCTAGGTTGGCAGGAACTGAGGTGAGGATGGGAGCTCACCCCATGGCATGGCGCTCGGGTCTCAAACATGGGCTGCCGGCTTTCCTCCCAACAAGCCCAGCATCCTAACCACTGAGCCACCATGTCACCCAGTGAAAGAGATCAACTGAGTTAAAACTAAGAGCCCCCTAAGAGGGGGGGGGAATACAATCCCACCTATCTCCTGTTTACAACACAGTCCATTTGTCAGTTGCAAGAAGGTTCCACATCCATTATTCAGGTGACCCCGAGGGAACAGATAAACACCCCCAAGTGGCCACAACGACTCTCCGAGAACTAATGACCAGATGTCTGCAAAGAATATAAATCCTTCCATTCCCCACCATTCAGTCAGAACTGAAGAAGCTTGTTGGATGAGAAGCGAAACATTTTCAAGGAAAAACATCAGGAAAGTTCAGTGGCCTTTTGAAAAAGCACCCTTTGGTGAAAACAAGAGTTTAGAGATATTGTCGTGTTTATATCTGTGTTGAGTTGGGCATGAGGATCTGTCAATGAGTTATTCCTCCCAGTTGTAAGGATAGTAGGATAAATTCACCCAATTGGAAAGAGGTCCCTGATAATTAATCAGTGCCATACAAATGAGAAGACTCAGCTCTTTGATTTTATCCTTTGACCTTTCTTCAAAAGTTACAATCTTCAATTTGGTGAAGTGACCCATGCTGTACATGGCACTAATGATACGTTGGGTTGGTGTAGGAAACTCAGCCTTTGTCCTTACGTGAACTGGACATCTGATGAACTGATTAAGGATTAATTGTCTGAATTTCCCATTGTCTTCCAACGTGACTGTCTGGATTCATCCTATTGAGCAAACTCAATTGAAGGTAGTTTGTTTATCTAAGATATGAAGGAAATCAGATACTTTGGGAAGAAGAAGATTATTATTATTATAATTTAAAAGAGAGAGAATAGAATATGTTTAATTCAAAGATTAAAATTTTTATTGAAGTTTAATTCATTCACACATGTATCTGGACCATAGGAAGGAAGGAAGGAAGGAAGGAAGGAAGGAAGGAAGGAAGGAAGGAAGGAAGGAAGGAAGGAAAAAAGAGATAAAGGGGTGGGGAGGAGGCAGGGAGAGAGGAAGGAAGGAGGGAAGGAAGGAAGGAAGGAAGGAGGGAAAGAAAAAAGAGATAAAGGGGAGAGAAGGAGGCAGGGAGAGAGGAAGGAAGGAAGGAAGGAAGGAAGGAAGGAAGGAAGGAAGGAAGGAAGGAAGGAAGGAAGGAAGGAAGGAAGGAAGGAAGACGAGCTAAAGATTACAATGTTTTCTTGTGATTTTGCAGAGCAAAGATACAGTTAGACATTCTCAAGATCCTTCCAAGCTACAACCAAGATATGAAAGAAATCAGATACTTTGGGAACAATATTATGATTGTTGTTGTTGTTGTTGTTGTTGTTGTTGTTGTTATTGTTATTGTTATTGTTAAAAAAGAGAGAATGGAACACATTTAATTAAAGGATTAATATTTTTATTGAAGCTTAATTCATTCACACATGCATCTGGACCGAAGGAAGGAAGGAAGGAAGGAAGGAACGAAGGAAGGAAGGAAGGAAGGAAGGAAGGAAGGAAGGAAGGAAGGAA